AACTTAGCCCGTGTACAGGACGTTGTGTACTTAGTGCTTGTCGTCCTTCAGGTCACCCCTTGCATCCACTGGTGCTGTGCTGTAAACACACAGCTAGTCAATGTGAGTCAAAGTTGGAGGTCATCACATTGAACATTTAAAGTAGTGCAGCCACTGATTCGATGTACAGTTTGATTGTAATCTACTATTTTGTCAAAAAAACTTGTCATAAATACTGTATTCTGCTGTTTCATTCAGCACACCGACCGCATAGAATGTGCAAAGTGCTATCGAAACTTTATATCACATTTCTGGCTATAGGTTCCTTATATCAAAACGTTCAAAATTTCATCCTCTACAATCTCCCAAATTTTTAAAATGTCATTCTGATACATCCTGTATATCAATTCAATGAAAATATATTCCACACAAGATGCTACATACAACCACTCCACCAATCAACGACTATCAACTATCCTCCAATCATCAATAGCAATGTAGATATTAATATCTGTTCAAAAACTTGCAATTAGAATTTAGAATACCTGTTTGAAGATGTCCTTTTAAAAAATGGACGAAAACATTCACTTTTCAAAGTAAGTTGTTTTTTTACTGGTTTATTGATTTAGTGACATAGGAGAACTTTTATTATTAATATTAACCAGTATTTGGTTGTTTTCTATATAAATTTTGGAAGTTTTACACTCTGTGCAAGTTTCCTTACACTAAGACATGGATTTCACTGTGTGAGCAAAATCAATTTGTGACATGCCAATTCTGATGCTGTCATTTTGACAATTAGCAAATTAAACAAAACACTACCATAATTTTTTTATTATTTCATATGTCTACAAACTCTACCTTTTTGTTAAAAAAAAAAAACTGTTAGCTCTAATGGTTGAATTTAAATCTATATGAATTGATCTTGGTGTCCTTATTTTGGCATGTTCACCCTTTATAAGACAATGCCTCTTCCATCTTATTTTATTTTATTGTTATTGGAGTGTTTAGTTTGAACATCATATGTGAACATTTGAGATGTAGAAATCAATAAACTGTTAATGTAATACAGAAATTTTTTTTTTTTTTTTAGTTTTTAGCATCATTAATTTGAAGTCTTGATTATTTTCGCATAAGTTGTTAATTGAAACAGTTTTGTCATAAAGTTGCCTTTTATTTCCATCTTTGGTAATTGATAATAGGATTTATTTATCTTAATTATTAACATAAATATTCTTAATATTAACTCATTCATATATTTTATCTTTTAAAAAATGCTTTTTAAAATGATCTCTGCATAATACAAAATTGAAAAAGAATATAAAATCTGTTCATTTAATATATAATCTGTTACTTGATATTAGAATACAGTATCATGATTAAACAAACAGAATGGGTGAACATGCCAAAATCAGGACACCAAGATCAATTCATATAGATTTAAATTCAACCATTAGAGCTAACAGTTTTTTTTTTAAACAAAAAGGTAGACTTTGTAGACATATGAAATAAAAAAAATTATGGTAGTGTTTTGTTTAAAATGATATTTATTGATTCAGAAATGAAAAAAAAATTTAATAACTTGGAAACTATAATGTATATCCTAAAGTTTGCATTTAAAAAATTTTAGACTTTTATTCTAGACTCTAAAGATGAAAATTTTTTCAAGAGTATTAAATAAAGAAGTTAATTTTGACTTCTAGAAGTAGGCCTGAACGATTGGTATTTTTATACAAATTCAAGGATTTAGAGTTTTAATCTAATCTTTTATTTATATTCAAATGAAGTTTACTTCACAATAAAATTTTTTATTTATTGTGATATGACATATTGACAGCCCTTCATCTTCTCTTCCCCTCAACCTTTTGTTTTATTTACTTTTTGGTTTCAAGAGTCAAACATGGAGATTTGCAAAAAACTCTGAGGGTCAAATTTGACACAACAGCCAGGGAAGTAAATGGAAAAGTTCAATTCTGATTAATCTCATGATTAAGTTCCTATTCTGGTATTATTTCTGCTTGGAACAATTTTGAAAGAAAAATAATTTGTCAAAGAAATTTCTCAAGTTTGTAGATGTAATCCAAGGCTTAAATTATATTATGCCAATTGTTTAGGATAAGTTAACATAAAAAAAATTCAATTTAATCATTCATTTAAATTCTTAGTCTATCAATGAATGAACAGTTTTAAATGAATTCTAATAATCAGTAATTTTCATTTTACTACACAGAAAAATTAAATTATCAATCAAGGTATTTACTTTATTCATAGTTTTAAACTTTGTCTATTAAGAACAATCATTCTAGGAAATTGATACTCCCAAGTAGTGTATTTCAATCATAAGTTTTTATATAGAAAATCAATCTTTAAATGTTTTATTGGGCACTGCCAAGCAGGAATGAGTTGGCTCAAAATTTTCTAAGCTTGTACAAACTCAAAAATAATGCTTTTGTTATTTTGGTATAATATAATATTTTTGTTGCTTGAGAGTAGAACAAACCCTGCTCCATTGTCACATTCACCTGCTGAAAAAGATTCTTTACCTTTTGGGTAAAGAAACTTTCAGCAGATGAATTCTTTTTCTCTCTTTTTGCATCTTTTTCATCTCTTTTTGTACGAACAAAATGTCAGGAAAATATTAGCATGTATCAAAGATTCACCTCTAAATTAGATAAAACAATTGGAGTACTAGAAAATTTAGTTACAGAAGAAATACAATTAATGACAAGTGTTAATGCAGTTACTTGAGGAATTTAAGAAAATGGGAAAAATAAATTACAAAGAGAAGTTATCACCAAAAAAAACTATAACAAATTACACAGGTGATACAGGCATTTAATTTTATTATATTAAGTCAATCTAGCACCTTGAAATTTGGAAATAAAAGATAGTTTAAAAGAAAAATAATTATTTATTCTACTTTCAGAATAAAAAGTTTTAAATGAATTTATGTAAATAAGATTAAGACAGAAACAATCACAATTTTGGATTAACATGGAGATAAATGCATTAAATTTAAACAAATTTATAATAAATCCAGAACTATTTAAAGAAAAAGATAAGATTAAATATTGTACGATATATGTTGTTATTTTTTGAATTTAAAATGTCACTTTGCAAAAGAGATTTTGGATATCCTCATAAAGAAAAAGGCCCTACAATATTAAAAATATTTAGAGATTAATAAAAGTAAGTAATAAACTTCTTTTTTACAACTCATACATAATAATAATGAAATTGAACAGACATTTAAGATAATGTAATCATTAAATAACTCAAGGAATTGAAAGAAAAACGTAGTGTATTCCAAAAATTGAAGAGACAAGAGAAACAGGTAAAATTAAATTTCACACCAACCAGAAATTATATCATTTCTATGTTAAAAAAATATATTCATAATACCTCTAAAAAAGTTGTTTTAACACAAAGTATGCAAAAGTAATCTATATTGAAACAATTATTCACACTAATTGAGTGCAAATTGAGTTTTAACAAATTTCTTTAAATATGGCAATTTGAATTTAGTAATCTTTTTTCTTTATGCTGTATGAATGTCAAAAGTTAATAACCCAAATGAGGAATAATCTTGTACAGTACATGTAGGAAAATGGTCTGGACATACTTAATTCTTCACATAAATCTAATAAAAAGTGGAACATATTAATAAATTAGTATTAACGATTTTCTGTTACGGATAATACAGATGAGCTGCTGGAACTTAAACATATCAAAACAGTCATTTAATATAATATAGTCAAAAGTCATCAACTAATTAACTACTTTCATTCCTAATTCATTATAATTTTTATCTGTAGTTATCAGAAATTACAGTATCATTGAATTGCTCTAGTTGTGAATTGAAATCACATTGAAACAGTCAGTTGTTCTGAAATTCCTCTACACTGAACAACCTATTATAAAGTTCCACCTTCAACTATATCTAGCCAAGAAGTGTCATTAAAATTTTTTCAAAATTGGCAAAGTTGACATTCCTTACATCTAGTTCTCCCTAAATCAGATAAGGCCAATGTGAAACAAATTTGAGAAATATTTGCATGTTCGTCTAAAAAATCAATTAAGGGAGTCTCTCGGCAATTGCAGCTACTGAAGTCAGAAGTGTGATTTCATCTATTTCTATACAAGCTCCAGCTATTTCATACAATATAGAGCCAGATGACAAACCAAAGTGCATGGCATTTGCAATTGATATGCAGAATGGTTTGAAAAATAATTGTGCTTACTAACATTGTTTTTTTGGATAAATTTGCATTTCATGTTCGTGGCAATGTCTGTATTTGGATAGTGCAAAACCATGCAACAAAAGCAGAATGTGTTAGCCAGAAAGTAAATGTCATGCATAAAGCAGCACCAAACAAAGTGTTTAGCTACAAAAAAAAATATGGCCCATAGTCAATGCCAACAATTATTAGGATATATTAGAACTATACCATGACTAAAGATTAGCAGCCTAATAGAAATCTACAGTCTTGCTGAAAGATCACAGGCAATGAGGAGTGCAAATACTTTCGGCTCAATTGTTTTCCCAGCAGTAGGTAGGTCAAGATAGTCTCATTTTAGGGCCAACTAGATCCCCATTTAGATACGTCATCTTTGACGTCCACAGGAAAAAATAAAATAGTCTATTGTATACTAGTTTGATGTTGATAAATTGGCAATTTTTTCCTTCAATGCTATAGTCACAGTGGAGAGAACTGGAATATATACAAGAATCTTCTTATTACATGTGACTATGATTTTACACTTAACTTTAATATTAAAACCTGTCTTTTTTTTTTATTATTCCGATGGTCAGTTTTTGTTATTTTGAATTTCACGAATGAATTTATTGTATGTGTCTGAAAAAGATATAATACTAAATATTTTTACATTTATAAAAGTTTTGATTTGTCTATCAATGAAAAATAATGAACATTAATTCCTTTTTAAAGCGAGTGAGAAAATGACAAAACTAAAAGTGTTTTAAAATATTAGAATATTATTTAACAATTTAATCTCTAATTAAAAATACACCACAAAGCTTTGATAAGTGAAGATTTTATTTACTATTTACCAGTATCTTTATGCATATAGTAAATAGATTACATTAATATTGTCATCTATAATGAAATAACAAATAGTTTATTTATTAAAGATAAAAATTGATTTAATTCCCTAATAAAGTTTGTTTTAACTCATTACTTTCATTTAATTCCTAAAAAAAAAAAGGAAAAGAATTTTAATACTTTTACCATTGAAATTTTTTTATATTTAGAAAATGTAATTTACCTTAATTATATCTAATCCTCCAATCAAAGTACCATTGACATACACTTGAGGATAAGTTGGCCAATTTGAATAAATTTTTAATCCTTGACGTACCTCTTCATCTTGTAATATGTCAAATGTTTCGTAACTTACACTAAAATTAAAAAGTATAATTTTTAATTAAAAATTAAGAATGGAATCTTAAATATTTATTATTTGCTTTATTATACTTACCCAATTTCATTCATTATTCCAATAAGAGTTTTACTGAAACCACAACGAGGAACATCAGGATTTCCTTTCATGAATATCATCACTGGTGCTTTTTTAATAAGAGCCTCAAGCCTACAAAATATTCTTATAATTAAAATTTGAATCCAGAGAAAAGTCTAATTTTTTATGTTATAAAGAAGAAATATATACAGTCAAACCTATACAAATTTTCCCATAATGTAATATGGATTAATCCATTCCTGACCCCAAAATAGTTTTTTTTTTTTTACCTTTTTGCTGTATTTCAGGCATAAAAATGTCCATAAATGCAATATATTCTATATTCTATTGCATTTATGTATACAGTGACACCTCTATTAACAGACATTTTTACAATCCCCAGATCTTCCAAATAGGACATCTATTACATTTAACTATAAATGGCAGAAACCAAACAACGTTGTCCATAACCTTCCAAAAATCCAATGTCCTGCCTTCAATATTCTGAAAGAATTAATTAACACTTTTTAGTCTAATATTGTATGACACACATTTGACCTTGTACTTCCTGAGGTCCACAAACATATGCCTTACATTCCTTTATTTACCACTAGTAGCCTGGGATGCCCTCTAGTGGGCATTCTTTACAAATTTCCATGAGGCACAGTTCCTTTGACTTTTTTGTTCTTATCAATATGCTCTACAGCTCCATTGAAGTCACAATGGTAAGATTTACCCTCTGAATGAAGGGGTGGCGACCCCCTCAAACTGTAGACCCCTGTGCGAACAATAAAGTCAAAGGAACCATGCCCCACATACAACCCTTCGCAAGATATAAGCCCTTGAAAATTCACCTATGTCATTTCCGGTCACATGACACCGTGGTCAAAAAGAAGCCTACTGCGTGAAAAAAAAATAACGTGCGCTCGCACACACTGGGGGGGTCGCTGACCCACTCATTCGCAGGGTAAATTGTGGCAAACAGGCAGGCAGCATAGAATAATTTTCAGAGGGCTATATCTCGGAAAAGGTCATGCGTAGGGGTATGGTTCATTAGACAGGGGGGTCACCACCCCTTCATTCAGAAGGTAAATCTTACCATCCCACTCGAGTCATACGGATCTATATTTCTACCTATTAAACATTCTATAAATAGTTTAATTTGTTTATTTATCTTCGCTTATAAACCTTGATTTTAAATATATCAGCTATTTTTTCAACAAATTTCTCGTGAGTCAATGCGCGACGTTCACTGAGTCATGGGATGTTGTAAACGTGCAGCACAAGGTTAATCAAGGCATATAATAGTTATTTATACCATTGCATGGTATAAATAATATTGATAAATGATATGAATTTATTATTTATACCATTGCATGGTATAAATAATAAATTCATATCAATAATAAATTCCTATTACAAATAAAAATAATTTATTGTTAATTTAAAATCTTTGCTAGGGCGCCTCTAGTGCCCGTTNATTTATTTAATATCTAATTAAATTTTTATTATTTCTTTGCAGTGTTATTCCATGGGTTTCTTTTACTTTTGCTACCATTACCTTATGTTCGTGCACTCTACACTCATTTCATTGGTGGTGCTCTTCTTTTTAGTTCTCATTTACTTTCTGGATATTATATTCAGATGGAACAAGGATACACTGAAACAAATAATAAAGATACCTATTTCTTACAGAGACAGTTATCAATGTTGACTGCTCACGTCATTATTTCTGGAATTGTGTCTTCTTTGTTACAAAGTGCTGGAAGACCACCTTTATTACTTCTTTCCAGTTGTTCCCTTCCAGTAATAGCTAGATTATTGGATTTTCCTATAGAAACTCTTCAGTTGTTTCACAATTTTAGCAGTGCATCAATTGCAGTCAGTATCTTCCTATATATTTATCATCATGTACCAGTAATTTTAGACTGTGTAAAGCTAGCATATATGGATGCATTACTTATTGCTGAAATTTATGGATGGATGGCTTTGTTGACTGTTTTATGGAATAAATTATTTGTTCCAACACATTTTGCTGTATTTTGGTTAATTGATTTTGTAGCTAGGTTGGTTGGGAATTTCTATCAGCGTGAGAAAGTTTCTATTTGGGGAGACGAATGGTACATCACTGTGCTTAGCACTATAAGTTCTATTTGTGCTAGTCCTGTAACTCTTGTTGCTACTTCAGTCACTGTTTCATATCTGTCTTATTTTGCACTGTGTGCTACAAAAGCTTATTTACAAGGTCGTACTGCATTTCTTCATGATAATCCAATGCATAGCGGTTGGACAGAAGGATTTACATTTGTTTTACTTGCACTCCAGACAGGATTGACAGAAATGAAAATGCCAGCTAGGATGGCTGTAATGACAATCATACTTTTTATTGTTCTGTCTTCCTTATTACAGTCAATGCTAGAAATCACTGAACCAGTTGTATTAGCTTTGAGTGCTTCTCGTAGTAAAAGTATTAATCGTCACATTAGAGCATTTAGTTTATGTTGTATTCTATTTGTTTTTCCTCTTTACTTAACATATATATTATCTAGTATGTTTCCAATAGATTTTTGGATGATGGTTGTCTTATCAAGCTGTGTTTTGGCTTCTTTTCAAGTATTGGATCTTTTTGTTGTGCATTGTCTCTTTTTATATGATTCTTCTAGAGATGAAGCATGGGAAAGTTTAGATGATGTAGTTTATTATACACGAGCTGTAACAAAAATTTTTGAATTTCTTGTTGCTGTTTTTGTTGTTGGTATGGGATTGTGGGAATCAACAGGAAAATGGAATTGGGTAAATGCATCAATTCTCTTAGTGCATTGCTATTTTAATGTCTGGCAAAGATTGCAAACAGGATGGAAAAGTTTTCTTCTCAGGCGTGAAGCTGTGAAAAAAGCAGAATCGTTACCAGCAGCAACATTGATTCAGTTATCTGAACATAATGACGTATGTGCCATTTGCTTTGCTAACATGGAAGCAGCATGTCTCACACCTTGTCAACATTATTTCCACAGGACTTGTCTGCGTAAATGGCTTTATATACAAGACAAATGTCCACTTTGTCATACTACAATATCAGTTACTCCACAACAAGAATCTACAAGTGCCAATCAAGAAGATAATTCAAATCAGTCAAATGAAGTAAATGATGCTAGCACAATAGCAAATGAAGATAATTTGGTTCATAATCACCCAGAATAAAACCCTCTTAACATACATTTAAAATGTTTTGAACCAAATTTAGAAATACCCAAATTTAACTTCAACATCATCAATTAAAGTAATAGAATGCGAATTGGATCTCATTTTCATTCCATTATTTAGTGATTGACTGCTCAAATTAATGGGAAAAATTATTGTACTTAAGTGTGTTTACAAAGTCATATTTACTGGGATAAAATCTAAATATTGTATAGTGATATACATACATCATATATTATATATATAATTTTTTTCTTCTCTAAATAGATATTATGTACAGAAATTGTATATTAAAAACCAAGTTTAATGTAAGTTTTATTTTTTATTATTAACAATTATAATTTATTTAAACTAATATTTCTTTGTTGTGAAAAGTAATTTCTTGAATAGTATAGATGTCTGTTGACTGTCAAATTATTTTGATAAAAAAAAAAAAAAGAAAAAACAATTCAGATGTTTCATTATTATAGAATTGAAACCAAATATTTCATTTTATTAAGGCTTGATTAGTATATTAGTAAAATAAAATGTGGATTGAATAATTTATAATTTTTCTAAACTATATTAGTTTAAACTTCTAACATTGTCTTAAATAATTATATTCAGAAAATTTAATTAAAAATTCAATTTAGAATTTTTATTCAAATTTAAATAAAATTTATTTATAATTTAGTTTAGAAAATTTTTAATGTGCTTTCTTGTGCATTTAAAATATTTTGTAAAATTCTTATGTATTTCATTTTCTGAAATAAAATATTGAATGTATAAATTTTAGTTTATAATATTAAATATATAATAATAAAACTGGTATCAATTAATGCAACATTAATTTTGTACATAAAAGTCTCATTGTTACAGAGTTTATAAAGACATTTTCAATAGTTCATAAAATTTTTCAGCAATATTAGTTCATTTGGGCCTATTATTATTTTATGCACTGTATATTTAAGAAAGATTTTAAAGGATTAAGCTTTCTAATGCGTAAAGTCACCAGAAGGCTTAATCCTTTTCTATCACCTAATTTATAATGGTTAATCAGTTTTATTGCTTTAAGGATATCCTATTTTATTGTATATAAATTATAAATATATTCCAATTCTTCCCAAATAATTAAACTTTAAAACTTCCCTAAATATACAGCCTTGTATGTAAAAAATACTTCTGAAAAGTTTGAGGATCCAACCCAGATACCATGTTTCCCCAAAAATAAGACAGTGTCTTATATTAATTTTTGTTCTGAAAGATGCACTAGGTCTTATTTTTTCCATGAAGAAGAATTCACATTTATTATTGAACAAAAAATTTCCCAAGTCGAACTTAGACGAGAGTGACATACATCCAGTCGTGTCGAACTGAACTTAAATAAAACTGGCGTGAACTTACGAAGTTTCTGTGCTAGAGTGGACTTCCCACTCTCGCTTCAACTTAACCTTTTTATAGCGTCTACATCGGGCTCAATGACCAATTACTGCTTACTGAACCATAGCATTATGCAAATGTGATGTGGTGTGATTCCCGGCTGACCAATTAGCCATTACCAGCTGTAATGTTATGCAAAGTTGTGATAACCAAGCCATAGTTTTATGCAAATCATGCTGTGTGGCATGATTGTCTGCTGCCCAATCAGTGGCTGTACTTTCAAAAAGCCAACGGCCACTTTCAACCATCTGTCGATGACCGTTATGAGTAAAAAAAAACTTTGCTAGGTCTTACTTTCGGGGGGAGGCCTTATATTTAGCAATTCAGCAAAACCTATGCTAGGTCTTATTTTCGGGGAAACACTGTACCTAGTTCTCAGACAAGCGTCCACTTTAGTTACCTCAGTCATGTTACTAAGCTGTACTTTAAATATATACAATAAAATTAATTGATTCTAGACTAATTTGACTCAACATTTCCAAATCACATAATTTTTTGGGAATAATCCATATAAACTATGCTATAAACAAAAAATTGTAGGATTACTTACCAAGTGCGCACCATTCGAAGATGCCATTGCTTAAATTAATTAATTAAGCTTGTTTTCATCGTGGAGCTTGCCATCAAATGGCGCTCGCGTGCTTCCTGATAAATTATTTTTTTTGCAAAAACTTTGCTGAACTTTGGAAACATCATTAATATAAATATAATTTTTATGGACGTTAAATAATAAGTGGTTTTTAGTAGGTCCACTGCTCATTTAAACTCAACGGTTTGTACAATATCTGCTATTGGTCTAGATTTGACCAATCCTGTCGCAACGAGTCAGCGATGATGTTTTACCAAATTATACGAGTTTTTTTAGCATGTTTGTATGAATACTGTTGCAATTTTTTCGCTATCATATAGGAATCCAAACTATAGGAAGCTGTGTTATGGGGGGTCGACTGTATATTTTTAATTATAAAATTGTGGTGCCGTCTGTATGAAATTTTATTATAAAAAAACTTTTCATATTTTTAATTATTATAAAATGGCAATAGGCTTTTATAAAAAAAATTATAAATGCTAATAATAACATCTTCATTAAGTCCAGCCTCTCTCAGGATATGACATATTGACAGCCCTTCATCTTCTCTTCCCCTCAACCTTTTGTTTTATTTACTTTTTGGTTTCAAGAGTCAAACATGGAGATTTGCAAAAAACTCTGAGGGTCAAATTTGACACAACAGCCAGGGAAGTAAATGGAAAAGTTCAATTCTGATTAATCTCATGATTAAGTTCCTATTCTGGTATTATTTCTGCTTGGAACAATTTTGAAAGAAAAATAATTTGTCAAAGAAATTTCTCAAGTTTGTAGATGTAATCCAAGGCTTAAATTATATTATGCCAATTGTTTAGGATAAGTTAACATAAAAAAAATTCAATTTAATCATTCATTTAAATTCTTAGTCTATCAATGAATGAACAGTTTTAAATGAATTCTAATAATCAGTAATTTTCATTTTACTACACAGAAAAATTAAATTATCAATCAAGGTATTTACTTTATTCATAGTTTTAAACTTTGTCTATTAAGAACAATCATTCTAGGAAATTGATACTCCCAAGTAGTGTATTTCAATCATAAGTTTTTATATAGAAAATCAATCTTTAAATGTTTTATTGGGCACTGCCAAGCAGGAATGAGTTGGCTCAAAATTTTCTAAGCTTGTACAAACTCAAAAATAATGCTTTTGTTATTTTGGTATAATATAATATTTTTGTTGCTTGAGAGTAGAACAAACCCTGCTCCATTGTCACATTCACCTGCTGAAAAAGATTCTTTACCTTTTGGGTAAAGAAACTTTCAGCAGATGAATTCTTTTTCTCTCTTTTTGCATCTTTTTCATCTCTTTTTGTACGAACAAAATGTCAGGAAAATATTAGCATGTATCAAAGATTCACCTCTAAATTAGATAAAACAATTGGAGTACTAGAAAATTTAGTTACAGAAGAAATACAATTAATGACAAGTGTTAATGCAGTTACTTGAGGAATTTAAGAAAATGGGAAAAATAAATTACAAAGAGAAGTTATCACCAAAAAAAACTATAACAAATTACACAGGTGATACAGGCATTTAATTTTATTATATTAAGTCAATCTAGCACCTTGAAATTTGGAAATAAAAGATAGTTTAAAAGAAAAATAATTATTTATTCTACTTTCAGAATAAAAAGTTTTAAATGAATTTATGTAAATAAGATTAAGACAGAAACAATCACAATTTTGGATTAACATGGAGATAAATGCATTAAATTTAAACAAATTTATAATAAATCCAGAACTATTTAAAGAAAAAGATAAGATTAAATATTGTACGATATATGTTGTTATTTTTTGAATTTAAAATGTCACTTTGCAAAAGAGATTTTGGATATCCTCATAAAGAAAAAGGCCCTACAATATTAAAAATATTTAGAGATTAATAAAAGTAAGTAATAAACTTCTTTTTTACAACTCATACATAATAATAATGAAATTGAACAGACATTTAAGATAATGTAATCATTAAATAACTCAAGGAATTGAAAGAAAAACGTAGTGTATTCCAAAAATTGAAGAGACAAGAGAAACAGGTAAAATTAAATTTCACACCAACCAGAAATTATATCATTTCTATGTTAAAAAAATATATTCATAATACCTCTAAAAAAGTTGTTTTAACACAAAGTATGCAAAAGTAATCTATATTGAAACAATTATTCACACTAATTGAGTGCAAATTGAGTTTTAACAAATTTCTTTAAATATGGCAATTTGAATTTAGTAATCTTTTTTCTTTATGCTGTATGAATGTCAAAAGTTAATAACCCAAATGAGGAATAATCTTGTACAGTACATGTAGGAAAATGGTCTGGACATACTTAATTCTTCACATAAATCTAATAAAAAGTGGAACATATTAATAAATTAGTATTAACGATTTTCTGTTACGGATAATACAGATGAGCTGCTGGAACTTAAACATATCAAAACAGTCATTTAATATAATATAGTCAAAAGTCATCAACTAATTAACTACTTTCATTCCTAATTCATTATAATTTTTATCTGTAGTTATCAGAAATTACAGTATCATTGAATTGCTCTAGTTGTGAATTGAAATCACATTGAAACAGTCAGTTGTTCTGAAATTCCTCTACACTGAACAACCTATTATAAAGTTCCACCTTCAACTATATCTAGCCAAGAAGTGTCATTAAAATTTTTTCAAAATTGGCAAAGTTGACATTCCTTACATCTAGTTCTCCCTAAATCAGATAAGGCCAATGTGAAACAAATTTGAGAAATATTTGCATGTTCGTCTAAAAAATCAATTAAGGGAGTCTCTCGGCAATTGCAGCTACTGAAGTCAGAAGTGTGATTTCATCTATTTCTATACAAGCTCCAGCTATTTCATACAATATAGAGCCAGATGACAAACCAAAGTGCATGGCATTTGCAATTGATATGCAGAATGGTTTGAAAAATAATTGTGCTTACTAACATTGTTTTTTTGGATAAATTTGCATTTCATGTTCGTGGCAATGTCTGTATTTGGATAGTGCAAAACCATGCAACAAAAGCAGAATGTGTTAGCCAGAAAGTAAATGTCATGCATAAAGCAGCACCAAACAAAGTGTTTAGCTACAAAAAAAAATATGGCCCATAGTCAATGCCAACAATTATTAGGATATATTAGAACTATACCATGACTAAAGATTAGCAGCCTAATAGAAATCTACAGTCTTGCTGAAAGATCACAGGCAATGAGGAGTGCAAATACTTTCGGCTCAATTGTTTTCCCAGCAGTAGGTAGGTCAAGATAGTCCCATTTTAGGGCCAACTAGATCCCCATTTAGATATGTCATCTTTGACGTCCACAGGAAAAAATAAAATAGTCTATTGTATACTAGTTTGATGTTGATAAATTGGCAATTTTTTCCTTCAATGCTATAGTCACAGTGGAGAGAACTGGAATATATACAAGAATCTTCTTATTACATGTGACTATGATTTTACACTTAACTTTAATATTAAAACCTGTCTTTTTTTTTTTTATTATTCCGATGGTCAGTTTTTGTTATTTTGAATTTCACGAATGAATTTATTGTATGTGTCTGAAAAAGATATAATACTAAATATTTTTACATTTATAAAAGTTTTGATTTGTCTATCAATGAAAAATAATGAACATTAATTCCTTTTTAAAGCAAGTGAGAAAATGACAAAACTAAAAGTGTTTTAAAATATTAGAATATTATTTAACAATTTAATCTCTAATTAAAAATACACCACAAAGCTTTGATAAGTGAAGATTTTATTTACTATTTACCAGTATCTTTATGCATATAGTAAATAGATTACATTAATATTGTCATCTATAATGAAATAACAAATAGTTTATTTATTAAAGATAAAAATTGATTTAATTCCCTAATAAAGTTTGTTTTAACTCATTACTTTCATTTAATTCCTAAAAAAAAAAAAAGGAAAAGAATTTTAATACTTTTACCATTGAAATTTTTTTATATTTAGAAAATGTAATTTACCTTAATTATATCTAATCCTCCAATCAAAGTACCATTGACATACACTTGAGGATAAGTTGGCCAATTTGAATAAATTTTTAATCCTTGACGTACCTCTTCATCTTGTAATATGTCAAATGTTTCGTAACTTACACTAAAATTAAAAAGTATAATTTTTAATTAAAAATTAAGAATGGAATCTTAAATATTTATTATTTGCTTTATTATACTTACCCAATTTCATTCATTATTCCAATAAGAGTTTTACTGAAACCACAACGAGGAACATCAGGATTTCCTTTCATGAATATCATCACTGGTGCTTTTTTAATAAGAGCCTCAAGCCTACAAAATATTCTTATAATTAAAATTTGAATCCAGAGAAAAGTCTAATTTTTTATGTTATAAAGAAGAAATATATACAGTCAAACCTATACAAATTTTCCCATAATGTAATATGGATTAATCCATTCCTGACCCCAAAATAGTTTTTTTTTTTTTTTTTTACCTTTTTGCTGTATTTCAGGCATAAAAATGTCCATAAATGCAATATATTCTATATTATATTGCATTTATGTATACAGTGACACCTCTATTAACAGACATTTTTACAATCCCCAGATCTTCCAAATAGGACATCTATTACATTTAACTATAAATGGCAGAAACCAAACAACGTTGTCCATAACCTTCCAAAAATCCAATGTCCTGCCTTCAATATTCTGAAAGAATTAATTAACACTTTTTAGTCTAATATTGTATGACACACATTCGACCTTGTACTTCCTGAGGTCCACAAACATATGCCTTACATTCCTTTATTTACCACTAGTAGCCTGGGATGCCCTCTAGTGGGCATTCTTTACAAATTTCCATGAGGCACAGTTCCTTTGACTTTTTTGTTCTTATCAATATGCTCTACAGCTCCATTGAAGTCACAATGGTAAGATTTACCCTCTGAATGAAGGGGTGGCGACCCCCTCAAACTGTAGACCCCTGTGCGAACAATAAAGTCAAAGGAACCATGCCCCACATACAACCCTTCGCAAGATATAAGCCCTTGAAAATTCACCTATGTCATTTCCGGTCACATGACACCGTGGTCAAAAAGAAGCCTACTGCGTGAAAAAAAAATAACGTGCGCTCGCACACACTGGGGGGGTCGCTGACCCACTCATTCGCAGAGTAAATTGTGGCAAACAGGCAGGCAGCATAGAATAATTTTCAGAGGGCTATATCTCGGAAAAGGTCATGCGTAGGGGTATGGTTCATTAGACAGGGGGGTCACCACCCCTTCATTCGGAAGGTAAATCTTACCATCCCACTCGAGTCATACGGATCTATATTTCTACCTATTAAACATTCTATAAATAGTTTAATTTGTTTATTTATCTTCGCTTATAAACCTTGATTTTAAATATATCAGCTATTTTTTCAACAAATTTCTCGTGAGTCAATGTGCGACGTTCACTGAGTCATGGGATGTTGTAAACGTGCAGCACAAGGTTAATCAAGGCATATAATAGTTATTTATACCATTGCATGGTATAAATAATATTGATAAATGATATGAATTTATTATTTATACCATTGCATGGTATAAATAATAAATTCATATCAATAATAAATTCCTATTACAAATAAAAATAATTTATTGTTAATTTAAAATCTTTGCTAGGGCGCCTCTAGTGCCCATTTTTGGCATACCATTACGTGGACGGATACCGGTTCAATGGGTTATATATATAGATTGTTTTAGAAATTACAACAAATTTGTAACCTTTTTAAAGTACTTGATATCCTTTCTTAGGATTTATTTTAAGTACGATTTCTCAAATAAAAGTTTATAATTTTCATGTAAAACCTAATCTAAATTTTGCTTTACTTTTAATTATTCAAATATGATTAAAAAAATATTCCAACCTCTGGTTAAGACTTTGTTTCTTTGGAAGTAAATTCTCAAGTTCACCATTTTCTGCTAATTCTTTTAATATGTCCAAACCACCTATTAGTTCTCCATTGATGTACAGCTGAGGATAAGTGGGCCAGTTGGAAAAAGTCTTCAAACCTTTACATATATATAAAAATGAATAAAATATATTTTNTGTAAAAAATACTTCTGAAAAGTTTGAGGATCCAAAAATAAGACAGTGTCTTATATTAATTTTTGTTCTGAAAGATGCACTAGGTCTTATTTTTTCCATGAAGAAGAATTCACATTTATTATTGAACAAAAAATTTCCCAAGTCGAACTTAGACGAGAGTGACATACATCCAGTCGTGTCGAACTGAACTTAAATAAAACTGGCGTGAACTTACGAAGTTTCTGTGCTAGAGTGGACTTCCCACTCTCGCTTCAACTTAACCTTTTTATAGCGTCTACATCGGGCTCAATGACCAATTACTGCTTACTGAACCATAGCATTATGCAAATGTGATGTGGTGTGATTCCCGGCTGACCAATTAGCCATTACCAGCTGTAATGTTATGCAAAGTTGTGATAACCAAGCCATAGTTTTATGCAAATCATGCTGTGTGGCATGATTGTCTGCTGCCCAATCAGTGGCTGTACTTTCAAAAAGCCAACGGCCACTTTCAACCATCTGTCGATGACCGTTATGAGTAAAAAAAAACTTTGCTAGGTCTTACTTTCGGGGGGAGGCCTTATATTTAGCAATTCAGCAAAACCTATGCTAGGTCTTATTTTCGGGGAAACACTGTACCTAGTTCTCAGACAAGCGTCCACTTTAGTTACCTCAGTCATGTTACTAAGCTGTACTTTAAATATATACAATAAAATTAATTGATTCTAGACTAATTTGACTCAACATTTCCAAATCACATAATTTTTTGGGAATAATCCATATAAACTATGCTATAAACAAAAAATTGTAGGATTACTTACCAAGTGCGCACCATTCGAAGATGCCATTGCTTAAATTAATTAATTAAGCTTGTTTTCATCGTGGAGCTTGCCATCAAATGGCGCTCGCGTGCTTCCTGATAAATTATTTTTTTTTGCAAAAACTTTGCTGAACTTTGGAAACATCATTAATATAAATATAATTTTTATGGACGTTAAATAATAAGTGGTTTTTAGTAGGTCCACTGCTCATTTAAACTCAACGGTTTGTACAATATCTGCTATTGGTCTAGATTTGACCAATCCTGTCGCAACGAGTCAGCGATGATGTTTTACCAAATTATACGAGTTTTTTTAGCATGTTTGTATGAATACTGTTGCAATTTTTTCGCTATCATATAGGAATCCAAACTATAGGAAGCTGTGTTATGGGGGGTCGACTGTATATTTTTAATTATAAAATTGTGGTGCCGTCTGTATGAAATTTTATTATAAAAAAACTTTTCATATTTTTAATTATTATAAAATGGCAATAGGCTTTTATAAAAAAAATTATAAATGCTAATAATAACATCTTCATTAAGTCCAGCCTCTCTCAAGATATGACATATTGACAGCCCTTCATCTTCTCTTCCCCTCAACCTTTTGTTTTATTTACTTTTTGGTTTCAAGAGTCAAACATGGAGATTTGCAAAAAACTCTGAGGGTCAAATTTGACACAACAGCCAGGGAAGTAAATGGAAAAGTTCAATTCTGATTAATCTCATGATTAAGTTCCTATTCTGGTATTATTTCTGCTTGGAACAATTTTGAAAGAAAAATAATTTGTCAAAGAAATTTCTCAAGTTTGTAGATGTAATCCAAGGCTTAAATTATATTATGCCAATTGTTTAGGATAAGTTAACATAAAAAAAATTCAATTTAATCATTCATTTAAATTCTTAGTCTATCAATGAATGAACAGTTTTAAATGAATTCTAATAATCAGTAATTTTCATTTTACTACACAGAAAAATTAAATTATCAATCAAGGTATTTACTTTATTCATAGTTTTAAACTTTGTCTATTAAGAACAATCATTCTAGGAAATTGATACTCCCAAGTAGTGTATTTCAATCATAAGTTTTTATATAGAAAATCAATCTTTAAATGTTTTATTGGGCACTGCCAAGCAGGAATGAGTTGGCTCAAAATTTTCTAAGCTTGTACAAACTCAAAAATAATGCTTTTGTTATTTTGGTATAATATAATATTTTTGTTGCTTGAGAGTAGAACAAACCCTGCTCCATTGTCACATTCACCTGCTGAAAAAGATTCTTTACCTTTTGGGTAAAGAAACTTTCAGCAGATGAATTCTTTTTCTCTCTTTTTGCATCTTTTTCATCTCTTTTTGTACGAACAAAATGTCAGGAAAATATTAGCATGTATCAAAGATTCACCTCTAAATTAGATAAAACAATTGGAGTACTAGAAAATTTAGTTACAGAAGAAATACAATTAATGACAAGTGTTAATGCAGTTACTTGAGGAATTTAAGAAAATGGGAAAAATAAATTACAAAGAGAAGTTATCACCAAAAAAAACTATAACAAATTACACAGGTGATACAGGCATTTAATTTTATTATATTAAGTCAATCTAGCACCTTGAAATTTGGAAATAAAAGATAGTTTAAAAGAAAAATAATTATTTATTCTACTTTCAGAATAAAAAGTTTTAAATGAATTTATGTAAATAAGATTAAGACAGAAACAATCACAATTTTGGATTAACATGGAGATAAATGCATTAAATTTAAACAAATTTATAATAAATCCAGAACTATTTAAAGAAAAAGATAAGATTAAATATTGTACGATATATGTTGTTATTTTTTGAATTTAAAATGTCACTTTGCAAAAGAGATTTTGGATATCCTCATAAAGAAAAAGGCCCTACAATATTAAAAATATTTAGAGATTAATAAAAGTAAGTAATAAACTTCTTTTTTACAACTCATACATAATAATAATGAAATTGAACAGACATTTAAGATAATGTAATCATTAAATAACTCAAGGAATTGAAAGAAAAACGTAGTGTATTCCAAAAATTGAAGAGACAAGAGAAACAGGTAAAATTAAATTTCACACCAACCAGAAATTATATCATTTCTATGTTAAAAAAATATATTCATAATACCTCTAAAAAAGTTGTTTTAACACAAAGTATGCAAAAGTAATCTATATTGAAACAATTATTCACACTAATTGAGTGCAAATTGAGTTTTAACAAATTTCTTTAAATATGGCAATTTGAATTTAGTAATCTTTTTTCTTTATGCTGTATGAATGTCAAAAGTTAATAACCCAAATGAGGAATAATCTTGTACAGTACATGTAGGAAAATGGTCTGGACATACTTAATTCTTCACATAAATCTAATAAAAAGTGGAACATATTAATAAATTAGTATTAACGATTTTCTGTTACGGATAATACAGATGAGCTGCTGGAACTTAAACATATCAAAACAGTCATTTAATATAATATAGTCAAAAGTCATCAACTAATTAACTACTTTCATTCCTAATTCATTATAATTTTTATCTGTAGTTATCAGAAATTACAGTATCATTGAATTGCTCTAGTTGTGAATTGAAATCACATTGAAACAGTCAGTTGTTCTGAAATTCCTCTACACTGAACAACCTATTATAAAGTTCCACCTTCAACTATATCTAGCCAAGAAGTGTCATTAAAATTTTTTCAAAATTGGCAAAGTTGACATTCCTTACATCTAGTTCTCCCTAAATCAGATAAGGCCAATGTGAAACAAATTTGAGAAATATTTGCATGTTCGTCTAAAAAATCAATTAAGGGAGTCTCTCGGCAATTGCAGCTACTGAAGTCAGAAGTGTGATTTCATCTATTTCTATACAAGCTCCAGCTATTTCATACAATATAGAGCCAGATGACAAACCAAAGTGCATGGCATTTGCAATTGATATGCAGAATGGTTTGAAAAATAATTGTGCTTACTAACATTGTTTTTTTGGATAAATTTGCATTTCATGTTCGTGGCAATGTCTGTATTTGGATAGTGCAAAACCATGCAACAAAAGCAGAATGTGTTAGCCAGAAAGTAAATGTCATGCATAAAGCAGCACCAAACAAAGTGTTTAGCTACAAAAAAAAATATGGCCCATAGTCAATGCCAACAATTATTAGGATATATTAGAACTATACCATGACTAAAGATTAGCAGCCTAATAGAAATCTACAGTCTTGCTGAAAGATCACAGGCAATGAGGAGTGCAAATACTTTCGGCTCAATTGTTTTCCCAGCAGTAGGTAGGTCAAGATAGTCCCATTTTAGGGCCAACTAGATCCCCATTTAGATATGTCATCTTTGACGTCCACAGGAAAAAATAAAATAGTCTATTGTATACTAGTTTGATGTTGATAAATTGGCAATTTTTTCCTTCAATGCTATAGTCACAGTGGAGAGAACTGGAATATATACAAGAATCTTCTTATTACATGTGACTATGATTTTACACTTAACTTTAATATTAAAACCTGTCTTTTTTTTTTTTATTATTCCGATGGTCAGTTTTTGTTATTTTGAATTTCACGAATGAATTTATTGTATGTGTCTGAAAAAGATATAATACTAAATATTTTTACATTTATAAAAGTTTTGATTTGTCTATCAATGAAAAATAATGAACATTAATTCCTTTTTAAAGCAAGTGAGAAAATGACAAAACTAAAAGTGTTTTAAAATATTAGAATATTATTTAACAATTTAATCTCTAATTAAAAATACACCACAAAGCTTTGATAAGTGAAGATTTTATTTACTATTTACCAGTATCTTTATGCATATAGTAAATAGATTACATTAATATTGTCATCTATAATGAAATAACAAATAGTTTATTTATTAAAGATAAAAATTGATTTAATTCCCTAATAAAGTTTGTTTTAACTCATTACTTTCATTTAATTCCTAAAAAAAAAAAAAGGAAAAGAATTTTAATACTTTTACCATTGAAATTTTTTTATATTTAGAAAATGTAATTTACCTTAATTATATCTAATCCTCCAATCAAAGTACCATTGACATACACTTGAGGATAAGTTGGCCAATTTGAATAAATTTTTAATCCTTGACGTACC